CCCTAACGAGCCCCAGCTGCATAGTTAATCTTGCATCCTGAAAAGACTCACAGAAGACTGCTGCTGAGTCACAACACTCCACTGAACATTGAAAAAAACCAATACGAATGCTGTTTCAAAATCACAAGTTTATTCAGGAAACTGTAGCTTGAAAAGGTTAAAAAAAACTCCTATATAGCTTATATGTGACATTTACCTCAAATCTTTTATATATACTATCTATACATACAATTATTATTTGCTATCTGAAAATCTGTTTAGCATGCCATATCACTAGGAGATTACAAAAATAAGAGTAAAAAAACCATACAGGCTTATTTTTTTTTCTAAGTACCTGCCTATGTACGATTAGCTGAAAATTATCAAGCACATTATGGGAAGTTAATCCTACTGGGGGGGACAATATAATTTTTTACCAAAAATTAAAAAGTCAAAGCCATGGTCTAGTCTCAACCATAATTAAGCCTTTTACAGCTGTCATAAGCCACATTTTTAAAAAGGTTCAAAGAAATGTAAATTGTATTCTTTCTACTTGTGAAATATCATGAAGCAGATTAATGTGTTCATAGAACACCTAAGCAAAACAAGGATAAGAATGCAGTTCTGCAGCCTTGTAATTTTGCATTGAAATTTTACCAGATTAAAAATCCTTATAAATTTAATTTTACTCTAAAAAAATAATTATCATACAATTTACAGATTCTAGGCAAATATAAATTTCATGTTACATTTTAATTCGTAAAAAACAAATTTTCATTTGAGTACTCATTTGAATAATACATACTATATCAATAATTAAATAAGCCATGTCTGTTTGATTGTTCTTGTTATTTTTAATAAAGATTCCTAGCCAGGAGAAGGCTTTTTTCCGCCATGGCGACTACCCCCTGGAATAACCTACCCCTTGGGATCTGTCTCAACTTCTTGGCCATCCATAAAGGTTGGCCCTTGGCCCGGATAGGGTTGTGTGATCCTAGAGGTGGTTGCTCGATTAAATGGACGTTCCCACCTATGTTCTATAACCCTCACTACCTTAGCTATTTCTTAAATTTAATATATTTATTGTTACTGTTTTAATCTTTTATAATACAGTTTTATTGGATTCCAAGCTGTTCAAAATCATGTGACAATGAGATGGGTGGCAAATAATTTTAGTAAATAATTACTATAATTAATTACTTAATAACATTTATATCTGTTGCACCATCTTCATGGTCATATGATCAAAATTCAAATGCTTGACAACTGGTTCATATTTATGATGTTTGCAGTGTCCGGGAGTCATGTAATCCCCTTTTGCAAATTTCTGACAAGCAAAGACAATGGGGAATCCAGATTCACTTAACCATCATGTGACTAACAGCTGAAGTGATTCACTTAACAACTGTGGCAAGAAAGGTCGTAAAATGGGGCAAAAACTCCCTTAACAAATGTCTCACTTAGTAACAGAAATTTTGGGATAAAATTTTGTGGTCATAAGTCAAGGACTGCACATATTGACTAATGTGATTTTCCTGCAGTTTCAGCTATAAAAAGAAGCCCTTACTTAAGATTACCCTATTTTTAAAATTCCTTTTTAAGTATTCTTCTGATTTTTTGAAAGGTATATGTTGCCCAGTAGATGGCACCACAAGCATGAAATTCATACCATGTGTAAAAAGAATTGCCGCTTCCATACCTTGAAGATGTACCTTATAACATTTTGCAATGCATACATGCACAAAATTAATAGATATGCATCACACTTGCCATGAACAGACAAATATTATGACACTTTACAATTTTCCTCTGCTATTGCACATACATACATTTGCTTAGATGTGCCATTTGTTTTAGGAGAGCTTAAATCTAGTAAGTGGATAACAGAATACAGGCTTCTTGTAGTACAAATTTGACAAGTTTAAGATGTCACAAAAACAATGTAATGCAGTGTTTAGGGTTTAGATTTGGATTGGAGGCCCAGGTCTTCACTTTGATAACTTAAGCTAGTCACTCTCTCTTAGCTTAACTACCACATTGAAACTGCTATGTAAGTTCCAGAAAAAAATGAGGTATGCTCTTTAGAGTGTCACAATTATTCATAAACATTTAAATATGATTTTGGATTTTTAAAATGAATGGAATTTTACAATGAACAGACAAAACAAAAGAAAATTCATGTTCTATTTTCAATTTTATAATTCAATATCTACTCCTTCGGCAGCCAGTTCTTTCACTTTGTCCACTTAACAACTTGCATAGTTACTAATAACTTGCAGGACATTTAATAAACTGCAGGGCACTTGACAACCTGCAGAACAACCTGCAGGAAAGCAAGCGGCTTCCGGGGCAAGGAAGGGAACTCCTGCACTGGGCTGGAGAAACCAAGATCAGATCTGAAGATCCCAGCTTGTTCCTGCAGCCCATTGAAGATTCCACCATCACAAGGAGGTGGAAGGGAGGGAAATCCTTTGTCAGGTGACAGTAGTTTGCAATCTTCCCTGCTAACCAGGGAGAAGAGAAAATTGCAAATGGCGATCATGAGCATAGAGTGCTGGCAAACAGGTTGCCAAAAACTCAGATCATGATTACATGTTCCAGAGGCAACCAGAAGAGCTTTACTGATCATAAAGCACCTTTCCAAGCATTCATAATTTCAAATGGTTAAACAACTACTCAGAAATTGAGAACTCTCTATATGAATGACAAACAAGCTCAGTTCTCCAAAGTCTTAGGTAAATAAGCATAAAGTGTACACATATCAGGAAGGGGACTAATTCACATATAAAAGCCAAAGTACAGACACTGTTCTTTTTAACCTCATAAGATCAATTACTAAAACTCTCAGTTGCAAAACAGTTTAATCCAAGTTGGAAATCCAAGGTATTTTTTTTTAATACTTCAGGAAAAAAGTAGAAACGGTGCTCATCATGACTGATAAAATACAGTTAGCCTCCTTTTGCCCTATATTTTTTACAAATATATACTAAAATATGAAGAATAACTTCAAAATCAAAACATTATAAGTCATTGGAATACTTTAAAAAATCTATAGAGAAGCTATGGCCTTTTTTCTCCATAACCCGCTTTAATAAAATTGTCAAAAAATATATTGAAACATACCAAACCAGCTGTAAGTGATGGAGCAGATTGTCCTAATGATTGATTTCTCATGCGGACCAGATTTGATGATTCCCCAGATGGCTGTCCGAATGTGTGTGCCACTCCACTATGCATACTTGTGGATAATGGAAGTAACTGCTTTCCTTTAAAGAAAACATTCCATTTTAGTTATTCACTCATAAATTTGTAACAGTTCAATTACAGACTACAATGAATGAGCTTAAAGTAACAATTTTAACACAAATGTCTTGAATCACATTGGCCCTGGATAAGAATTTTTACAAAAAGAGCTCTTGATCGCATATATTTAAAAGATGCAGCCAAGGTGTCATGCCCCCGTCAAAGCCTAAATCAGTGGAGGAGGATGAGCCAGAGCTGGAGCTGAAGAAGATTAAAGGGGTGACTTCATTGGCTTCGGAGAAATGTGGTGAGCACGAGGACAAGACAGCCCAGGGCCACCTCATGATTAGGACAGCTTGTTAGCAGGGACGAAAGGGAGAAGGATGACTGAGGGAGGGCAAACAGTGGAAATGAGGAGCGACAGAACTCAGGCAATGAGCAAGGACCACCCCCTCCTCATCCCTGAGCAGGAGAGTAGAGTGAAGGCGGAAACAGCTGAACCGATGACTTGGGAAAATAAATGCCCCGCCCCTCTTCACAAAGCACACCTGGGGACTGAGATTTAAGAAGACACTGTGGGAACGGGCGTTTGTCAGGAACAAACACTGAATTTGTAGAGTTTTGTGTGCTGTTGCAGACATTTGGAGTTTGCAGGACTGCTTGCTTCTTCCTTGTTTCGTGGACTCAGTGATTGTTCCTTGCTTCGTGGATTCATTTCCCTGTTCCTTTGCTTTGCTGGACTGCACAAAGCCAGAGGCTACTGTATGTATGTGCACGCTTTGCTCTGGGACTTGCCAAAAACGTGGGAGCATTTGGGGGAAATTTGGAGCATCAAAGGGGAGTTTGAACTCTCAGCTGGCTGTGTGGCCTTCATGCCTTTTCCGGGGTCATCACACAAAGTATCAACAAATCTTTACTTGTGATATGAAACTAGATTTGTATATCTGAAAATGGTTTAATCATGCAATATTATATTGCTACTACATTTGTAATTTGATATATGCTGAATAGGGCGTTGGTACTTACCTGATACGCCTCTTCTCATAGTGGGGGGAGGAGTATCCAGNAAAATATTATCAGTTAAAACAAAAGGTCTAATATATTTGTGATCTTTTTTTGTTGAATTTTATTATAAAATTGTCACCAGAAGAGAATTATTGGGTGGGAAACAGTTCTGAAGAAACAAAAAAATATTATATCCTTTTCTAACAACCTGTAAGTAAATTCTATTTATTTAGTTTATTTATCAATTGTTTTATGCTGCCCATCTCACATGTATGACTCTGGATTATTTATGAATAAAGCCATAGAATCATATAAACACAAGAGCTAAAAACAAAATTTTAAAAAGGACTAAAATTAAGTTTAAAAAACAGTTCAAAAGTTAAAAAGGCAAGGGGGGGGTGCCTTAAACCTACCAATCACTACCAGAATTGCGTGCCACTCTTAAACCTCCATGCCAACTGGCAGAATCTTGACATTCTTCCAGCAGGCTAGGAGAGAAGGGGCTCATTTTGCCTTTGAGGGCAAGATATTCCATAGGGCAGCGGTAATGCCAGAGAAGGGTCTCTTCCTGGCTTCCACCTATTGAATTTCTTTCACCAATGGGGTCCACAACATACCCTTGCTGCTTGACCAAGTGGGCTGGGCCAATAAAATAGAGATGAGGCAGTTCCTCAGTAGCCTGGTTCTAGGCTACAAAGGGCTTTAAAGGTGATAGCCAATACCTTGAATTACACCTGGAAGCAAGCTGGCACCCAATGCAGGGATCATAAGTTGAGGACTACCCGTATCACTTTAAGTTAGTAACACAAAAAGGTTAATGTGATTTTGAAAAAAAGAAAACTAGAAGGTGGAACAAGGAAATGTAAAATTAATATCCCTGACATACTACTGAAATCTGGAGAATCCTTGAATGCTTGAGGATGAGATAGGTTCCATAAAGGAAGGATATCTGTACAACATAGGCATTGATATTTAGTATTTGTAATCAACACCTGTCTCTTATTCTATCCCATCAAAAAGCACATCCCGGGGAAACAAGCTGGTTATCAAATAGCTTTGGAAATCTCTGTGGTGATTTTCTAGGCTTGAAAGGGAGGAGAGAACATTTCATTTATGTATGTTTATTTTGCCAGGTACTTAATGATCAACTTTATTCTACCCTTGTATTAGTGCTGGTACAATTTTACTGTTTCTATTGCTATTGTAACTTCTATTTATCTGAATTATATTGTTAACTTTTAATATTTTATTGCTATTTTAATTGAATTTTGGACAGCTGCTCCGATGATGTTAATAAGGTGGTAAAAATACTATTGTTTTGAACTTTGCTGCTTTACACCACTATTGTAGCTGCTTTCCCTAATGAAGTGTCTTAAGATATATAAAACTCCAACTCCCACTGTGCTGAATTATGGTAACTGAAATTCAAGGAACCTGAAGTGCACCACACTGGGAAAGACTGTCAGAGTTTTAAGATCTTTTTCCTTCTTTTATTTAGCCTACATTACCCAATGTCACTTCTGATTGTTCACTTCAAAAATACCTGCTGAAACCACAACAGACAAGCATATATGCACTGAAGCACTTAGATCTCTGTAAAAAATGCATTAATACTATAGCGCCTGTGGAGTGCCATCTGGTGACCTTCTTTAAAAACCTGGACCATTTTAGCGAAAGATGTATCAAAAATCATTTGGAGGGCTGCTGTAAAATGTTAGTGGAGCAACTCATGGATAAAAATCACCCAGATCCACTTGGAATTGGTTTCAAAATTTAATAAAGTTATAGAAAAAAAGAAGCTGTCTGTACAGAATTGATGAGGTGGTTGGGCAACACCTTATGTTGTCATCTGGGAAGAATTTGAGACTCTTATGCCTGAGGAAATGGCAGAGCTCTGAGCCTGCAGACTAGGCCTTCTCCCCTCTGGTCTGTACACCTATTAAGAATTATGGGAGAGGCATGGTGAACTGGAGACATCTCTGCGATGTCTCTAACCCTAATTTTGATATAGATGCCTCAATCTAATTGGAGTGCCAGCAATGTATAATCTTCTGCTGCAGTTCTAGCGTTGAAGCTGAGGTGAATCTTTTCTTTTCTTTCTTCTTTCTTTCCTTCCTTCCTTCCTTCTTTCTTTCTTTCTTTTTTTAAAATAAAAGTAAAAAAAGCTTTTTTTTGTCCATGTCTTAAAGCCTGTGCTGGAATTTTCACAGAAGGTATTAAAGCAAAATATTGAGCTGCACAATTTTTCCACTGCAATTCACGCCAAAATATTGAAATATTTTGAAGCCCATTTTTTTTTCTTGTTCTTCAATTTCTTCCAAATTTGTATATAATTATTAGTAAAAACTTTATTAATATTTTAATAATAATGATACCTAAATATTGTAAAGATGTTCTACGCAATCCACAAATCTGTAGAGATTTCCTATTATGTTTTGAAAGGCATATGAAAGCACATCAGATCTGATTTGTGAAAATTAATTGATAGTGCTGACACTTCCACAAATTCCTCTAACTCTTAATATAATTATCTGAATAGGAAGTATTTGAGAAAATCAGAACTATATCAACTGCAAAAGGATTTAAAAGATACATCTCATCACCCAATTTTACCCGGTGAATCTGACTGTTGGATCAAGTTACTATTACCAGCTATAGCTTAGTTGAATAATAAAAGTTACTTTTACCCTAAAAATAAATTATTGTTACTGAGTTTTATTGTTCAAATGTTTCTTTTATATGTTTTTATTCCTGAGTGTTTAATTTTTAAACATTGTATATTGCCTTAATAGCTTTGAGCAAAAAAAGAGAGGGGATATAAAATATTAACAATTTTGTTCTGATAAAAAGCAAAATTAATGACTAAATAAATAAAAAGGCAAAAGATGTACTAGCTAATGCAGGTTAATTGATCCTCTGGGAAAGAAAAGATCCCAGCATACAGATGATATGTTGATTACACAAAGTCTGTTTTGAACGATCTATTGAAAGAGCCACACAGCAACTATCAGTATCAATTATACTCCTCTACACAGGCAGACAAATGAAATGAAATCTTGTTGACACAGACCTTCAACAAAGTAAAGATGAACTGCAGGAATCCTATTTAGCCTGTAAATTTTGAACAGGACCCTGGCCAGCACCCCTAGGCACTCTCACCAATGGAAGCACATGCAGCACTGCCCTAAAGCACCCTAGGTTAATAAATGATTCAAGGAAAACTAAGTGATGGTGTCAGCAATTTGCAGAGGTCATGTAAGGAACACTGCAAACCACTGTGACTTATCATGTGTCACATTCTTCCTAGCTATTTATTACTATTTTACTCAGACCGGTGTATTTTTGATTGAGAGACACATTAAGTTCTTACATAAAGGTAATGAGAGAGGGGAAGAGACACAGGCTTTGGATCTCAAGAAGTCCTCCAAAACTGACAATTTTTTTCACAGAGCATTACTTATGTTAGATCATCCTAAAAATTTATCTGCCTCGAGGTGATCTTAAATGAAATTATCCCAAGATTTACAAAAGGAAAGGAGATTGAAGATAAATCAAAAAGCCATTATATTGAAACATAGCTCTCAAAGTTACTTCCTGTAGATTGGCAGGAGATTCCTGTAGATTTCAACTACTTGAAGGCATTCATTATTCAAAGTACTATTAATTACAGTAATAATTTAATAAATTATTTTCATATACTAAATGTTTGTTGATGAACAATTTAAAATTTCATAAAGGGGTCAATGAGCTGAACAGTTTGAGAACCCATGCTCTAGTTTGGTTCAGCAAGGTTGTTGTTGTTGTTGTTGTTGTTGTTGTTGTTGTTGTTGTTGTTGTATGGCATTGTTGCAGTAGCCAGGAGATCACAATGCTACTGCAAAGTAGTAGTTTGGCTTGCTAAGGTACCAGTTCTGTTTTAGGGCACGCTTGCGCACTTCACAAAGTGCGCCACAAGAGGGCAAGCTGGGTTCAAACCAGTAGCTCTCCTGGCAGCATCACCCAAGGCTCTTCCTGGAGA